AACCCGCCACCTTAGGTGTACGTGGCTGGCGCCTTAGCCGGGTGAGCATTTTAACCATTTTTAAGTATTGCAGTTCAGTGGTGGTAAGCATGTTGACATTGTTGTGCAGCCATCACCACCATTCACCTTTAGAATTTTTTTGGCAAAACCAAAACTCTACCTATTAAACAATAACTTCCCATTCTTCCCTTCAGCCCCTGGCAACCACCATTTGAGCAGCTCTTGCACAATAGTATTTGTGGAAGGATTTGTTTAGTCACCCCAACTTGTTAGTGCTCAGGAGAATCACTTTATTATTTTTATTATTTATTTATTTTTTTTGAGACAGACCCTCAAGCTGTCACCCTGGGTAGAGTGCTGTGGCATCACAGCTCATGGCAACCTCCACCTCCTGGGCTCAAGTGAGTCTCCTGCCTCTGCCTCCCAAGTAGCTGGGACTACAGACGCTTGTCATAGCGCCTGGCTATTTTTTGGTTGCAGCCGTCATTGTTGTTTGGCGGACCTGGGCTGGATTTGAACCTGCCAGCTTAGGTGTATGTTGCTGGAGCCTTAGCTGCTTGAGCCACAGGTGCCACGCCAGGAGAATCACTTTAGATAGAGAATCTACTGAGTGTCGAGGTTATCACAGAGTGGCCGTGTGCAGTGGCTCACACCTGTAATCCCAGGAGCCTAGGAGGCTGAAGGGGCTGGATTACTTGAGCTCAGAAGTTAAAGACCAGCCAAAGCAAGAGTGAGACCCTATTCTCTATTAAAAATAGAAAAATTATACAAGAGGGACTCTAACCTAACAAATGCAAATATTGTAACTTAGTTGTTTATACCCTCACATTAACCTGAAATAAAAAAATGAAAAAAAAAGAAAAATAAAATAAAAGAAAAAAAAAAGAAAAGAAAAATTACCGGGGCATGGTGACTCTTGCCTTGTAGTCCCAGCTACTCAGGAGACTGAAGCAGGAGAATTGATTGAACTCAAGAGTTTGAGGTTGCTGTGAGCTTTGACTATGCCTGGGCATGAGACTCTGTCAAAAAGAAAAAAGGAAGAGGGGCTGCTGAAAGGGTGGTAGTAACTGATCTGGTAGTGGTTACACAGATGTGTTCACTTTCTCATGATCCTTTTTTTTTTTTTTTTTTGAGACGGAGTTTTATTCTGTTGTCTAGGCTAGAGTGCAGTGACGTTATCATAGCTCTTTGCAACATTAAACTCCTGAGCTCAAGTGATCCTCTTGCTTCAGTGTCCCAAGCTGCTGGGACTCAGGCACCACCACAATGCCCAGCTAAGCAGCCCCTGTTCTAATCACTACCCTGTCCTTTCACGCTCAAAGTAAACACTCTCCTGACACCATAGGTTGGTTTTGCCTATTTTTGTACTTTACGTAAATGAAATCATGTTATATTTCTTTGCATCTGATTTCTTTTGTTCAGTGTTGTTTTTAAAATTCATTCATGTTGGCTCGGTGCCCGTAGCACATATGCTAAGGTTGGCGGGTTCAAACCCAGCCTGGGCCAGCTAAAACAACGATGACAACTGCAACAAAAAATGGCCAGGTGTTATGGCGGGTGCCTGTGGTCCCAGCTACTTGGGAGGCTGAGGCAAGAGAATCACTTAAGCCCAGGAGTTTGAGGATGCTGTGAGCTCTGACACCATGGTACTCTACTGAGAGTGACATAGTGAAACTCTGTCTCAACAAAAAAGAAAGGCGGCACCTGTAGCTCAAGGAGTAGGGCACTGGCCCCATATACCAGAGGTGGTGGGTTCAAACCCAGCCCCGCCTAAAACTGCAAAAAAAACCAAAAAACAAATTCATTTATATCACATTTAACAGTAGTTTATTATCATTATTGTATGCTGTTCAATTTTGTGAATATAATAGAAATCTATTGTTGATGGACAATTGAATAGTTTCTGGTTTTTAATTTTTTCAAATGATAGGATGGCCTTTTTCTTTCTTTCTTTTTTCTTTCTTT